GGGTTTATAATTTGCAAAGAACTGTTAAAATGTGATTGGCAGTAATAACACTAGCAGGGTGTACATTGTTTGGTGAGATTGTAGAGCACAAACTAATGTGCATTTTAATTTTAATTTTTTTGAATTGCAGAGTATTGGTTGGTGTCCATTTTATTTTTACTTTTTTTTTATATTGCAGTGTACTGGCTGATGTACATTGTTTGGTGTTTAGTTTTAATTTTTTGGGATTGCAAAACACTTGCTGGTGTGCTTACTAATTTTGTTTTTTTTTTTTTTTTTTGGGAATTTAGAATGTGTTTTTTTTAGAGTATGATTTTAGTTAAGCTATGACCTTGTTTGACAGCTATATATTTTAGTTAAAAAGTCAAAAAATTACTATAACACATCACTTTCTCTACTTTTCTGTAAGTCTTTTCGTAAAAAGTCAAAAAATTACTAAAATAATTTATTCTCAAATGAGATTTAAGTGAATTTAACGATGTTTAATCTGCTATAGAAGTTTCAACTCAACACATAATAGCCAAACCTAAGGTAATTCATACAACACATTACTCTTTAATATACTGAGTGTGCCAAGATCAGTAAGAAAAACTTGATAGCAGTAAAACATGCCATCACGTGGTGAAATTGTATCAAAAAATCAGTTCCAGCCAAAATCCTTTCCCATTTGCAAGATTTTTGCATTTGGATTTAAGATGGATATATTTGCGAATATATAAATTCTCAAAATTAGATGACCTTTTAGCAACATCTATCAAGTTTATAAGCTGCCAAATTTCTTTAGGATTTTTTGAGATGGATCTCATAAATTCCTTCTTGATACCTCCAAGGAAAATCCCGAATTGAATCTAGGTCTGAATGTTACATAAAAAAAAACATAAGCCAAAAACATAACGAAAATCCCGAATTAAAGTGGGACCCAACCGTTGGTTAAGGGGGTCTGAGTGGTTTTGTATTATCTTAAGTAAGAAGATTACAATATAAAAATAATGAGTCAAAACTATTGAGTTGTGAATGATAATTGCCTCATAAAGTGGGCATCAATAAAGTTAGGTTTAGATTTGGATTTAGTCTTGGTTTGAACTGGGTTTAGACTTGTAATTGTGCATGTGCTAGGTTTGGTTTTAGACTTGAACTTAGACCTAGGCTTGAGCATTGGGCTGAGCTATGTTGGACTTAATTTGTGCATGCGTTTGAGATTGGACTTAGGTCGGGTTGTGACCCAACACCCGTATCCATTTTGTAACTCATCTAGTTTAATTCTCAAAACTTATGTATTATATACATGTTATGATTTATATAATGATTTTGGAGTTTTGAACATTTGTAACTGTAGCCCTAATGGTTAGAGTTGATGACATTTGATAACTTCATTGATGTTAGCCTTCATGGCTAAAGCTCTTCCCTATTAGTATAAATAGAGGTTTTTCTCATTCAATTTAGTAGGTTATTTTTAGAGAGGTTTTGTGATGAAAAATGAGATGGTGTTTTGAAAAAAAAAAATTGGAGATAATTTTTTACATCAAAGAAAATTTTTCTTATCTTCTTTTGTTAACCTCTTCTTTGGTTCTTGTTAGAAGAGTGCATCTATTGTCAAGTTTGCCGAAACTATTCAAAAGGTGCTTCTGTATTAGCTAATTTCGACTATCGTATATTGGGAGATATACGCCAGCATACCTCTAGCATCTAACGAGAGGCGATGAATTTGTTTTAAGAAAACTGTCTAGTACAAATTTTGGTTTGTTTATTTTCTTATCATTTGTTCTTAAAAATTTTCAATATTTAGTGTACAATGATGAGTTCTAATATTTAGTTATACACATTAATAGTTTGTCCTGTTAGTAATGTAATCGAATTCATTTTTATACTTTTAGTTATGTCATTTATTCCGTATTTCATCATTTTAATAAAAAAATTAATTTGCCATGTCTATTTAATTTATTTTATATATTTTTCATGTATTCTTATGAAAAAAATACCAACAAAAGTGAAATGGGGTGTTGGTGATGTGTAATGATGGTGGGGAAATTAAATTAAAGGGGCATTTATTAATTAGAGTAATGTTAGAAATCTTAAAAAATTTATCAATATTTTTATCAAATGTCTCACACGAGACCCACACCATGTCATACTCATGTGAGACATTTGATATAAATTTTGATAAATCTTTTAAGATCTCTAGTACTTTTCTATTAATTACAACTTCATTTTGTTCCCTTATTACCAACAATAATAATAAGAAGGATTCATGTAGCCGACTCCATTTGATGGGACTTAAGGCTTGGTCTGGTCTGGTTTGGTTTGGTTTAATCAACAATAATAAGATAACAATAATTTTTAATTAATATTAAGCACAAAAATTTAAATAAATTATTATAAAAATATTTCACATGATATTTTATGATTGTCCTTGAAAAATATCAAAAAAATTGTGTTACTTATAATTAGTATATTATGGACAATGCAAAAAAGTGATACAAATATAAATCTTAAAATAAATTATATAATTATAAAATTAGGCCAAGTTTGGGAAGACTAAATAAGTGCACTTTTTGTCTTTTTAGACTAAAAAGTTGAGGTTGAAAATATGAATGTTTGGGTTAACTTTTTGACTTTTTATGAAAAAATGTGTAATAAAAAATTGTAAAAATTGATTTGTAGGAGAAAATTAAAATTGGGAGTTGTGCAGCCGTAATTGTTGACTTTTGGTGAATAGTGATAACTTTTTAACTTTTTGAGTAACTTTTTGACTTTTTGGCTTTTTGGAGTGTTCCCAAACTTGGCCTAAAAGTCGCAATTTTAACTTTTATTTTATATGATTTCTATTAAATCATAAATTAATGAGAAAATAAAGAGATAGTGTGCATTATTGAACAAATCAAAAAGGAGAAATAAACACATGATGAATGATTTGCTTGACATGTGGCAAATTCTTAGCTATGTTAATAAAAGTGCACAATTTTATTTTTATTTTATATGATAGGATATGATAAAGATTTCTAGACTTTAGTATGTATTTTACTTAGATATATTTTAAATAAATAATATGAAAATATACTTACTTAAATTTATATTTAGGATATGATATGATAAAGATTCCTAGACTTTGGTATGTATTTTACTTAGATATACTTTAAATAAATAATATGAAAATATACTTACTTAAATTTATATTTAGGATGTAATTAGTAAATATTAAGTTTTTATGATAATACAACCTCAAAATTATTATATTACAATATTTAGGATTGATTTGACATGTTTGAAAAAAAGTAAAAAAATTAAAAAATTATTAAAAAAGTTAAAAAGTTATCACTATTAAAAAATATATATATAAAAAAACAAATTTTTCCAAAAAAAGTACAAGCCAACTTTTTGACTAAAGTGTTGTTTTGGTCTGAAGTGATGGTACGAACTGATCAAGCGGATGCATACAAAATTTGTACAGGACGGTGTTGTTTGGCCCTGTGGAGGCCTATAACGGGTTTCGTTTTGATAATCCGAATCATTCAATGTATAGAACTCGTCGAGTATTATATGTTTGTAAAAAATTAATTTTATCGGATATCGATAACTATATGATCAAAACAGTTTTGTAAAAAAAAATTGGACGGTGAAGAAATTAACGGTTGACAAAAAACTAATTTGATTAGATAGTTATCGATATTCGATCAACATAATTTTTTTTAGCCATATAATACTCGACGTGTTCTAAACATTGGACGGTTCCAATTATCAAAACGAGACTTATGGTGGGCCCCCCACAGGCCGAACAACCATTCAGTCCGATCTTGGACCATAGGCAATCTACTCCTATATATTTTTTCATAAAAAAATTAAAAAATTATCCTAAATAACTATTTTTTTTCCTCTATTTTTTATTCTAAAAAATTTAAAAATACACTTATTTAGGATACCATAGACAACCGTTTACTGTTGTTTAGTACATGATATCTTTTTAAAGCCAAGTTTGAAACGGAACTTACAAGCAATAAGTAAAGTTGGATTAGGATTGGAAAATAATATGAAAAATGCTTGGGAGCACTAATTAGTGCTCCCACTAATTAGGTGGCAGTGGGTCTCGTCATTAATGATGTGATGTTTTGGTCTTGGAGTTGTGTTTTTTTTTTTTTTTTACTTTTTTAATGCATTAGTGTTATTAGTGGTGATGTTTTTAGTGGGATGAATCATTGTTGAAATAATATATAATTTTTTTTTTTGTTAATTAGACCTAACACCAAATTTTTTTTTTAACATATTTGGAAATTTATTAATTTTTTTTTAACTCAACTTAATAAATTTATACAATTATAAAAAGTGTTAAAAATTAAACTATTTGAATTCACATCGATTGAAAGTTATTGAGAAAAATAAAATTTTAACCTTATTAAATTATCAAATTAAATTTAAACAACTCAAGATTTGTATGAGAATTAATTATTTTAGTATTTTTTTTTTATGAAAAGATATGAATAAAAATAAAGAGTTATGTGATAGTTTAAAATTTTATAATATGATAATTTGTAATGATTTTTTTAATTAAAATAAACTATTGACAAATAAGACCTTGGCTTGCTTATATCCTAATCATAGGCATAAAAATTTGGTTTAGTTGAAAGAAAAAACATCTAAAGAGTTTATCACCACAGAGATTGGATATTCGAATCACGAAAACTAAACATTTCAAATTTTGAGACTATTAGAGATTTGTTTAGCCATAAATTTTAGAGTTTCGAGATGAGATACGCGTAAATTAATCCAGACATCCGATTATAAAAAATTATTTGGCATTAACATTTTTTTCCAAATTTTAATTACATGGCCCACTCAAATACAAAGATGCTTGAAAGTAGAAGCCATACACACTACACCGGGTCAAACTCGGATCATCCATCAATAGGCTCCACACGAAGCTTGTGGAATCAAGAAAGCATTGCAGTGGTAGATTCTTGAAGGAGGTTCTCCAAGAAATGGGTTTGACCATCTGGTATGAACCTCAGTTTTGTCTTCTTATACATATTACTCTCTCTGTTATCAATGACATACGTTTTTTTTTCTTTTTTCTTTCTGGGTTTGATAGTCTCTGTGATTGTGTATATAAACATATATATAGATATATACATGAATTTTCAAATTAGGTCACTTATGTTTTGCTGTACTGGAAGCATTCAATCCCCAGAAATCCCAGGAGAGTGAAAACCAAATCCGGGTCTGTTTCCAAATTCCACTTCCTGTGTATTCTTTTTAACTGCAAATCTTTTCTTTGGACTTTCTGCTTTTTGATTTGATGGTGATTCAATCTATTTGCTTTTGTACTTGAAACTCTTGAGTCATCTTCAAGTTTTTCAGTTCTGTAATTTTTGTATCCATACCGCTCTGAAGTAGTACTTTCTTGGCTCTATATATATCTTTGTTCAAAACCTTATTATAATTTGATCTTTAATCTTGTACTGTTTTGTTTCCAACTTTAAAATCCTTATTTACTTGAAATTTTCATTTCATAATCTATATTGGAGAGAAGCTTAATTGATTAAAGATTCATCCATATACAGCTCTTAAAAACCAGTTATTCTGTGTTTTTATGTTTCTTTCTATGGCTTGGTAGTTTGAGATCTCTATATTATCAATACATTCTTTCCACCTTAATCAGTAGATGCTAATATTACATTTAGAATATATTATTTTCTGATACCCAGCCGGGTTTTTTTCCCTCATAATCTTGTTAAACTATTTTTTAGTTTTTAAATGATTATGTCTTGCCACAAAATTTCAACAGCTCGTTCTGACATTCATGTTTTTTCCACCAAGAATGTTTTATAAAACTCTCTGACAAATGGGGTTCTCCATTCCCCATTGTGAATGGCTATATGCTCAATTAAATTGAATAAATTCTTTTCTTTTTTTTTTAAAAAAAATTTAATATCACATCCAATATCAGTTTAGGCCTTTTTGATATCCAATTTTGAATTTTGTTGCAACTTCAAAGACCCATCATTTCTTTTTTCTACTTTGTTGTTTTGTTTTGCAGAGAGTCATAGTTTTAAAATCTCTATTAATATGCTTGTTTCATAGGCATCAATGTCATCTTGTTGTGGCCTTCCTCTTCTTGAATGTGTATACTGTTTGGCTTGTGCTCGTTGGGCTTGGAAGAAATTTCTCTATGCTGCAGGCAATGAAAGTGAGAATTGGGGGCTTGCCAGTGCTGAAGAATTTGAGCCTGTACCACGCATTTGTCGGTATATTCTAGCAGTCTATGAAGAAGATCTTCGAAACCCAATTTGGGCTCCCCCGGGTGGGTATGGTATGAATCCTGATTGGGTAGTGTTACGAAAAAATGATGAAGAAACCCAAGGGAGGGTTTCTCCATACATGATTTACCTTGACCATGATAATGCCGATATACTTTTAGCCATTAGGGGGCTTAATATGGCAAAAGAAAGTGATTTTGCGGTCTTACTTGACGACAAATTGGGGCAGACGAAATTCAATGGGGGTTATGTTCATAATGGGCTATTGAAGGCAGCAAATTGGGTTTTGGATGTAGAATGTGAGATTTTGAGGGAACTAGTTGAGAGGAATCCGAGCTATACTTTGACGTTTGCCGGGCATTCATTAGGGGCGGGGGTAGTAACATTGTTAACAATATTGGTCATTCAGAATCGAGAAAAAATGGGAAATATTGAGAGGAAAAGAATCAGATGTTTTGCAATTGCTCCTGCTCGGTGTATATCACTAAATCTGGCTGTGAGATATGCGGATGTCATCAATTCTGTTGTGCTTCAGGTAAATTCATCACATTCAGTAGTCATGCTGTGTTTTTCTTACTTATCTTGAATTGTATTTCGTAAGTTAGATGGATGAACCACAAATGCGACTCATCATTCATAAGTTAGTCTGATATACTTGTTGTCTGTTGGGCCCATTTCCTAATTGTTTAAGCATTTGAGACAATCGCTGATCTAACAATGGGCTGAAGGCCTTTGCCAATGAAAATACTATAAAAATGAAGTTCTTAAATAGAAAAAAAAAGCTATTCATTTGTTTTGTTTGTCGCTCTCTTTGGATCTCTCCTCTCATCACTTGTTATTTCTCGCCCTTTTCAGGCAAATTGTTGGTTTCTACAAGTAAAAGGACACGTTAATCACAATACTTGTAGAATTTACCCTCATGGGCTTAATTGTTATGAACAATAAATTTTTACAACAATGTTATGTAATTGTTCTGCTTCTTTGTAAATGGAATCAAATATTCTATTATGTGCCCAAATGTTGAAAAAAAAGGAGAAAAAATATAGAAAAATGAATTGCTTTCAGGGAAGACCAGGGTTTTCAATATCGGCATACATAAAGGGATTTTTGGCCTTCCGATACCATTGTTCACTGATACATTGGCTGATAGTTTTTGTTACTCTCCAATATCAGCTAATACTGATATGTATCCAGATACCATTATTTAAAACCACGGGGCCTTTAAAGTGATTTCCAATGTTTATGTTTGTAAGGCATACTTTTGTTGCCCTTTTTCTGGAAAACAAGAAAGCTTGTCAATAGCCCAAAAATAAGTGAAAAAAAAAGGAAAGAAAAAGAACAAGAAAGCTATTAATTAAAATGTGTGCATGTTGTGCATACCATAAGTACCATATGGGTCATATGTATTGTGCTTTGTAGTATGTATTGTTTGATATATGACATTACATCGTAATGGTAATAGGATTAACGTCTTTCTATGCTGATTGCACATGGTTTTTTAATTGAAGTTTTGAACTGAAAACCATTACTGAGTGATGTGGCAAGCGCATTTGTAGAATATGGGTTGATGATAGTCATTTTCAATGGAGCAATGGCATCTACCCCTTTAAACACAAATGTGGACAACACATTGATTTGTGTAGCATTGTTCATCTGAAAGATACATGAATTGTAAGATGCACGTGAATTTCTCTAACACAAAAACACTTATCCACGGACCCTGATACTATATTACTTGGTATAAGGACAGCAAAACAACATATTCCATCATTTTGCCCAAAAAAAAAAATGTTTGTTAAATATTTTTGTCCCTTGAGGTATTATCCAATTTTCTGCTTACAGTCTTGTGTTGTCATTTTATATCCTTTTTGTTTGGAATGAATGTGCTTATGTTCTAATATATGTTAATACAATGAACCAGGATGATTTCTTACCCCGGACAACCGTGGCTCTGGAACAACTTTTCAAGTCAGTTTTCTGGTAAAAAAGATTGTAGGTCTTGGTCACCTTTTGTTACAGTTTCAGTTGCATTTGGTAATCCTTTAATCTTTGTTGTGTCATATTAAGAAAGTGCCAATCTATGTGATTGGCTGTTCTTCTTCTTAGATGAAGTTTTTCCACGGCAACTGTTAAACCCTTTAGGGACCCAATGTGAAGGTGCATCTGCATGAAGTTAATTGAATCCTATTTCCAATGTCACGAAAGATCCATCTGTTAAATTCTAGCTAAAACATAATTTCAAAGCAATAAAGTTGATACCCCATTCGATGGTAAGCAAGCCAAGCTTGAACACATTTTAAAGCTAATTAGGTTTTCAAACCAAGCTTGAACAACCTAATACTCAACTTGATAAGTTTATATGCATTATAAAAAATCGAGCTGCTCAAGCTCGACTCATCTTCGGCTTAACTTGGCTTGTTTATAGCCCTATGGTGCATCAAATGAGTGGGAAATTTTAAAGCAATTGCATTACAAGTATTTAGTCAAGATACTAATGGAACTGTTTTTTTGCCTTCACTTCAACAGCTTGCCATGCTTATTATGCATAATGTGCCTGAAGGACACATGCACACTAGAGGAGAAGATCCTTAAAGATCCTAGGCGGCTCTATGCACCTGGTCGTCTCTATCACATCATTGTGCGGAAGCCTTTCAGGTACAACAAAATGAGACACATGTGAGACAAAGGTGTGGGATCCACATAGGTGGTGTTCACACGTGGGTGTACCTTTTGCCTCACATTTGTGCCTTAATTCTGTAAAAATCTTCTGTTCACTTGAGCTTTCTCTTTCTGGTATAGTTAGATTTCTAGTAAAATTTGAAGAACCAGGGATGGTTATATAACTGAGGGTTGTGGATAACCAAGCCATGCTACATTGTTTAAAATGATGGGAGAAGGCTTTGACTGTAGAACTAGAGGGGAGAGATCATAAAATATATATTTTTTCTTTTTCCACCATGGAATATCCAACTTTTCAGAGAGACAAGCATTTAAATGTTATGCGGTTATACTGATTAAAAAGGATAGTAGTGTAAAATCACAAGATTTAACTATCTTTACTTTCAAAAATGGACAACACATTTGGATAATCCAAATATGGAAAAGGTGGACAGAAAATATCTAAAAAGGTATTTTCGATTTCAGCAAATGTGGGAGCCTATGGCAGTCTGACACTGCACAGAGTCTGTGTGAATGGAGCGATATGGGACTCCAGGAGCTGCAGATAAAAGATCTTCTAAAATGTTTGGTCCACCAAGATAATGCCTCTACGCTATGTTATTTTTCCTCATATGCCTATATAGTGTAGAAATTACTATAGGAAGTGTGCTCTAGTAGTAAGTAGCTTTATTTTGTGAAACCCTTTTTAATTTTTAATTTTTTGAAGGGCATAACTGGTTCTGTTTTGATAGTGTCTTTGTTTTTTTTTGTTTTTACTTTTATTTTTATTGTTCGGGTTTTCAGAAACAAAACAATGAAAAGGTGGAGGAGGACATCACCAATCATTTTCGTATCATTCTACTTTTTGTGTGAAAACTATTTTCGAAAATTAAAAAATATATCTTTTTAGTGTTTCATAAAAAGCAGAGTTATTTTTAGGAACTATATTGGTTTGGGAAATAGTTCCACCAAAACCTGTGCTTTTTGGAAAATAAAAACAAAAAATGAAAAAGACAACCAAACATGCTTATCATGATTTTAGGTGATGGGTAATTTTTATCTTATCGATTCTGATATTTTCAATTTTTATTTGCAGGATAGGAAAAATCCCCCCAGTAGTGAGGACAGCAGTACCTGTAGATGGGAGGTTTGAACACTTAGTCCTGTCTTGCAACTTAACTTCTGACCATGGCATTGTATGGATAGAGAGGGAATCCCAAAGTGCTTTTGATGTAAGTTTTAACTCCTCATTGATAGCAATAATTTGTAATATCTCATGTTTATTATATATAATTAAATATATTAACAATAGAATTAGGTTATGCAGGGTGTGAAAACTCCTGCCCAAGCCCTTTCTGAATTTAATTATGGCTGACAAATTTTATTCTAGGCCTTGACCAAATTTAAAATTGTACGATCCAAGTCCTAAAAAAATTTCGAGATAGACTTGGGTTGTTCAGGTTAGGCCCACCCAAGTTGCACCCGTAAGGGTCGGTACTTGTTGAAGCAACATTTAGGTTATATTCATTGGAGGAAGGAAAAAGGAGGGAGGGAATTGTATCTGTAGGGAATGGATTACGATTATACCCTCACTTTATGAAAGATTAACCAACTTTTGGGCAACAAGTTTGCAAATTCATGTTTGAAAAAAAGGGAAAGCCTCTTCCTCTCCTTTTGCCTATTTTTGTGAGGATTGAAAAAGGTGGGCACATTGGGGAGAGCTCGCCAATTCTACTTTCCTTCCCTTATCTCATCTTCCAAACCTAACAAAGAAAGCTGCTTTCCTTCGCCCTTTCTTCCATCAACCAAACAGCCTTGCAAACTTTCTTTAAAGCCTTCTTGGCTGCTATAGTGCCTCAAATTGGTTAAATGGAGTGGTAGATTTCTCATTATGACCAAATATTGGGCAAAGTACTCGGATGACATTAGAACTTCTGTTTATCTCTTCCTTATGTGTGGTAATGTTTCTTGAGAGCTGTTGTCAAAGAAGAGACATAATTAGGAATTTGTTTAAAACCAAATATATTTGCTATTATTTTTGCAATTTTCTCAAAAAAATATAAGTCCATTAGCCCTTCCCCTATAAAGACCAATGCAATGGAATTTTTGTCTGATTTTGTGTTCTCTTTTTGGCATTTGCTATTTGAGATGATGATTACAAATGATAGGGAAGAGCAAAATGGAATAAGTGCTTTTCTGTTTGTTTTTGGCATGTGCAATGCTTTCAAATGATAGAACAGAGTAAAGTGGAATAGCTCTTCACATCCATGCATTTGTAGACACCCAAATACCCTGTTTTAAGAGGAGAGAGAAGAGAAGCCGAGAGATGTGAAAGACTTTTTGAATCCCCCCCTATTGATACTTTTAATTTGGCTCATGAGGAGAGAAAAGAAGAGAATGAAACTATTTTTTTGATAAGACTTTGGGTGAATTACAAATACATTTCCTGAGATTTGCTTAAAATATGTATTGCTCTGTGGTCTGAAAAATTATAAATACTCCCTTGTCATAAATTTTTATTTAACAAAATTAACTGAAGAATTGAAATTCTTAACTACTTTCCTATACAATAATAAAATTATCTGAATTATTAATTAAAATATATTTCTGACATCATAAAAAATTATTGACTTGAAAATTTATTAATAAAATAGGTCATTTATTATGAAATTAGAAACTTCAAGGAGCAAAATGTAATTTCTAAAATCATAAGAGATCATTCATATTTTAAGTAAATTTTAGGGAGTGTATTTGTAATTTACCCCAAGACTTTCTACTATTTCCTCGAAACTTTTTCCCATGAGAAAGAGTTTTGGAAATTTAGTTTAGAAGGAAGTAGGGATACAACTAATTAGCACAATATACAAGCACTATATAGAAACTATGGAAAATAGTTAAAATTGCCTCGTCTTTCCTTCCATTTTTTCTCTTCCAAGTTGTGAATAAAATGGACTGGTATGTTCAAATAGTGTTTTTTTTTTGGAATCATTATTTCCTTTTCAATTCAGCTAATGATGGAGAAAGAGCCGATCATGGAGATCCCGCCACAGCAGAGGATGGAGCGACAAGCCTCTCTTGCCAGAGAACATAGTGAAGAGTACAAGGCGGCATTGCAGAGGGCAGTTGCACTAGATGTTCCTCAAGCATTCTCGCCTTCTTCATACGGAACATTCCATGAAATAGAGGAAGGAGATGATTCAGGCAAATTACAGAGAGAATCACCGTTCCAAGGAATAGAGAGAGGAGATGATTCAGGCAGATTACAGAGAGAATCATCACCGTTCATGTTGCCAAATAGGAGGAAAGAAAACTGGGATGAGTTGGTGTATCGCCTTTTTGATGTAGACGAGTCGGGCCACATGGTACTGAAGAAATCATAGGCCATTTAGACACTCATTTATTTATTTATTTATTTTTCACTTTAATTGAGTTTCTGTTTGATTCTTGACGCAAAGGGGTCAGTGTTGCTTCAGTTGTGTCACAAGGACAAATTGTAAAATGTGTAAAATGTGCATTTTTTCATGATTTTATTAGCAGCTTATGTGTATTAACCTGAGCATCAGAGTATTTTATGCTTTCTTTGTTTCAGCTGAAAACATTTTTCAATGAAAAACAATTCTGCAAAAGACAATTTTTTTTTTTTAAAAAAAATATTTGGTTGCGTCTTTAAAATTAAGATAATATTTTTTCTTTTGTCATAATTTTTTATTTAATAAAATTAACTGAAAAAATAAAATTCTTAATTATTTTTTATACAATAATAAAATTATTTGAATTATTAATTGAAATATATTTTGAACATTATTAAAAATTATTAATTGATCTGATAATTTATTCATAAAAGAGATTATTTGCTATGAAATAAAAAATTTGAAGGAGTGAAATGTAATTTTTAAAATTACAAGAATAATTCATATTTTAAACAAATTTTAAAAAAATATATTTGTAATTTTCTTTTAAAATTAATATAATTGTATCAGTGATGGTGGTAGAAAGGCGGAGGTGGTGGGAGTGGGATGGAGTTTGTGCTAGTGGCAACAGAGGTGAGATGACGATGGTATGAAAATTATCGTTTGTCATTTAAAAATAAAATATTTTCTATTTAAATAAACTAATTTTTCGTTGTACCAAATATTAAAAAATAAAAATTATTTTTTAAAAATAGTTGTACCAAATATTAAAAAATAAAAATTATTTTTTAAAAATATTTTTCACTCAAACAAACAACACACACACACACAAAAAAAAGGAAAAAAAAAAAGAAAAGGAAAGAAGCATTATAATGAAAATCACAGTTTCGAAGAATGCAGAATCCTGATCTCTTGCCATGTGTATCACTATTTTTCCATCCTTGATTATTGAGACCATGTCACCAAACTGATCAAAATAAAACAGCTTGAGATTTGAACAAATTACAATCTGATTTGGGTAACAATGAATCACATGTATAGAGAGTTTGCTTTCTTGAAATCAAAATAAATTCCCTACAATAATGTGAGTTACAATCATTCATCCAAGTTCAAAAAAAATTTAAACGCAAAAATTAATCTTGATCTGCTACACCGGGCCACAGTAACTTCTTATCAAACACCCAACTTAAATTACCTAAAGTGACTGACTTGAACAAGAACCTTCTACCTCCTGCTACAATGGCCATGTTTGATTCACAGATAGGTTAAAGTGGGCGGCCATGCTAGTCATTTCACAACAAAAGCCTTACCCCGGTCACAAAAATAGAACCAAAAGTGGGATAATTTTATCCCATGATGAAATAGTCCTATCCTTCCCTCTTATCTGCGAATCAAACATCAGCATAAATGGGTACCGATAAATAAAATGAAGTTCGAGATCCAGCTTCATTCTCTTTCCAACTCTATCACCCTTAGCTACTTAGCAAATAACAATGCATGAAATGTCATCCAGGTCAATGAGATACCAACCAAAAAGCACACTTTGTCGTCTTGCTTATGAACTCCAATCGATGGATTGTGCTTGCAATTCAGATATTTGACCAGATAACATGTCAGTCTAAGTTAGCGGACACTGCAAGAAACTTGGGTCCAAGAAGGGTAGCCATGCTTTTCATTGGCTGTTTCATTTACAGAGGTGGATCAAAATAAGAACTGCTTCCACTGCAATGACAATGAATGGAGAAATCATGATACAGAGGTCAAGAAAACTGTTCTTCATTTGAACTATGAATGGAGATCAAGAACTGCTTCCCCTGCAATGATAACGAGACAATGTATATCAATCACTACTCTATTTCCTCTGTACATATAACAAAGCATGCAATTCAAAGAACCAAACAATAAACTTACAACCATTGAAACCGAAACAAATAATAAATAAATATGTTTAGATTTAGTATAACTTAAAAATATACATTTGGAAGGGGGAACTAATGGACATGAAAGACGATTTTGTCAGATGTTTACAAATGCACTGAACTGATTTAGTAGAAAAGTTGAGAATACGAAAGCTACATGAATAAAGTTTTCTTCTGTTTAGTATGTTCAACAAAAGCATGTACTTTGTTTTATGTTGTCATTGCAGGAGTCTTGCATCCACGTAGGATTTTCCTTTTTTTGGGATAAACTACATTTTCCACGCTAGTAGTTGGGGTGAGTTTCATTTTGGTAACTGCAGTTTTAGTTGCGGCAAATTGGACCCTATACTTCTAATTTGTTTCAATTAAATCTAGTTGTCAATTCCCACTAGAGATTTAGGCTCCATGAGTTCATGTGGGATTCATGTGAGCATCACACCAGTTCCATGCGGTGTCCAAATCTCTAACAAGAATTGATGAGTAGGCCCAGTTTAAACAAATTAAAAAGTACAGAGTCCAATGTGTTGCAATTGAACTTACAAGAACCACTAAAACTCACCCCAAACTACAAGGGTATAAAGGCCAATGTGTGGCAATTGAACTTCTATTTGAGGAGTGTATTGTCAACCGCTAGGCCACTACTTCACTTGCAACAATATGTGCGTGTATTTATAGTTTATTCACTAATCACTGTATTTTCCTACCTAACAGGATATATTTAGTTATTTTTTCAAACAATAAATCAATGCATAGAAAAATATATATATTAAAATACATCTATACATGCTCTGATGGCACTTTTGCTTGTCCTCTCACTCACGCTTGACGAATTGGTTACTTAGAACAGCACTACTAAAGCAATCGCTGCTACCACACAATGATCAACTTAACCAGTTCACATAATTTAGATTGAATTAAACTAAGTAGAATTCAAATCCTAAAACTGGTTCATTCTTATATCTACTCCTGATCTGTAGGAATTAGTTCCCTTGCAAAAAAAAACTGATCATTGAAGAATGATAAGTGCAAAAGGTTTCTAGTGTTTTACCGTGAATTCTCTTGACAAATCGTTCAAATTCCACGAAGTTCTGTGTTTCCATGAGAAGTGGGCCAAGTCTAAGGTAGGTAAAAGCACAAAAATGCCTCCCATCTGGATCATTCAAGGGCTTGGCTCTTTCCAAAATGTTGTTATAGCCTTCTCTGTCATGGCATGGAAGAGCATTTTCACTAGCAACTGGTATGCAAACATCCCATGCAGCATTTAGCACCTGAAAATGAAAAATAAATGTCAAAAACAAAAGCTTCACTTTAACCAAAGACAAAGCATATTTTGCACAAAAATCCTCCTCATATATGTAGCATATAGACTAACACACTGTTTTTGATACAGCAGACCCAAAAAAAAAAAGAAAGTGTAGCAAGCATATATGCTAATCAGGAGCATTTGTTACTGCTTAATGCTTACTTGCCAGGCTAACCCTTCGGGATCTGCTAGTGCCTCTGACAAGTCCCCATGCTGATCTAACACGCTCCATTCAGCATACATGAAGTTTACAGCAGCCCTATGCTTCTTTAACATTGCCATAACTGCTGCATAACCATCACGATTGCACGGGTTGTAATATCCAGCAGTTAATTCAGCAGCATGGCTGGCTGACTTGTACCACCAATGAATACCTGATAGCTACTCAGAAATAAAAATAGGCAAAAAAATGGAACTTCAATTTTCATAATAATCGGCATTATGAAGTGAACTTAAAGTAGATATGTAGCCAAAAACTTCCAATGTTTGCATTGCCACTTAAATTTTTACCTAAATAAGAATAAAAATGGAATCATATTCCTGTAAAATAATCTATAGAAAATAACCAAAATCAACATAACAAACAGTTGTGTTCCCATTGTTTAGACCTATCATCAATTAGTATTGGTCCCCACAAATTGGGGTTTGGGGTATGTCAAAAGAAGCACTAAATATGCTAATAGATGTACAATTAAAGATAGACATTGAATCCCTTTTTTCAATATACACTTCAATGCTTGTCTGAGATTTTCTTTCCTTTTCATTCACATTTTAAATTGCACAATTAAATCAGCTCAATTGGCAGAAACAAATCATGCAAACATCACACTTACGAAATAGTGGGTCTTTCGACTCTACAATGAGAATTTGATGTGGAGCCTACTTTGTATGAACATACCAACATGCTTAGCACTTTACTAATTCAGAAAGGATTAGTGAAATCAAACTGTGGTACATAAATTTTGCAAACTAAATCATCCCAGTGGATCATAAATAAACATAGAACTTAAGTACTATGAAGAGAAAGTAGAACTGAAAAAATAGATCCTAATCAGTTGCTATCTCAATAAGGATAATAAAATTCATTTTCACAAACTTAAAATTAGTCTTAAAGCTAACTCACCTTTGCAGCAATGCAAGTGCCTTCAAAAGCTAACTTGGCCAAAGAAAGTACCCGGTCACCATGGTCAACTAGAACTTGAGAGTACCAACTGAGGAAGAACCTGCCATAATAGCCATCATAATCACCTCCATCACAAAAAAATCCGGTTTCATGTGGCCGGGAATTGTAGGAACCTGCATTATCTGGTCCTCGTGTCCAAAAAGAGTGTCCCCTTGCTTCAGCTGCCTTCCTCAGGCTTTTCAACAAATTCTGATCATAACACTGCAAAAGAAACATGTTTGATAGATGCTCAGAAGAGTGGCAAAGTTTCAGATGGACATGACATATTTATTGGTGAAGTTTTCACAAGATGCTGGATGATGACCAAACACTGTAAACGAACCATGGCAGTTCACAATAAAATAAGTAATTCAGAACTTCAATATCAAAAAAAAAAAAAAAAGTATTACTTCCTCTGATCCAGTAATTTTTTCCACTGAGACAGATATTGGTCATACATATCTCAATATGAACTTCTCACGAGTAACGAGAACTCCAGTACAACATATTAAAAAAAAAAAAAAAAGTTGATTTAGGTAGAGAGAAAAACCAGTCAGGAAAGGGAATGTCACATCATCAACTTCTCAAGCGAATTATCATAATTTTTTTCTTTCAAATTATCATAAATTCTAAAAAATTAAATTAATTTCTGGTGTTACTAAAAAAAGAGAAAACAGAAACTGGAAGAGCAAACACAGTGAAGATTGCATCATTATGTATTTAAAATTAAAAATATTTGGTCAGCCACCTGGAATTCACCGACACCTGGATATCTCCAACCATGCTTTACGGGATTTGATGGGTATCGTAGCTCCCCGCATGGACCTAGTCCAACTTCAATCATAGAGATTATACCATCCTCAAAGAACTCGTCAAATTCAACCCGGAAGCTTCTCATGTAGTCGAAGTAAACCTACATCAGTTTTTGACAACACAACTGGTAAAATATCCAAATCGAAATCATTATTTACACGACATAAAGAGGGAATACCAGGGAGGGTGGGGCAAATTCAAAAAGAAAAAATGAAGGGGGTAAACAATTCAAGAAAAGAAGCTATCTGGTGTGCAAAAATAAGTTGGTCAAATTGCCCTTAAAGAAAAGCACTAACATCATGCATCAGTCATGGCTTTTTCGTTTGTTTGTTTGTGTGAGAGTGCATTTAGCAGTTGTCAAACCCAAAAGAAAAACTTTAAACAACAATAAATAGAAAACATGAGGAGGGCCCCAACACAAGGGTCCTACGCTTTTTAAAAAAATGCACTCAGTCTGAAGAAAAGTTTTATGATGAGTCAAAATAAAATCTAAGAAACAGATATCTTTAGAAACATCTGTATTTCAGCAATAGCTGTAGTTTTTAAGAACAAAAAATAAAAATCCAAAAACCATAAACAATTGCATGGCCACAAAGATTATGATGACTAATAATTTGGATAATGGCCACACGCAAATACATATATAAAAGGATGAATGCAATACCTCTACAGCAGTCCGGCCTCTTAAAACACGTTCCTTGTCAATTCCCCATGACAGACATTCAGGGTTGCGCCTTCCCTCTCTATCTGTGAAAAATATGTCAGGATTGCTTCGACCGATTTCTGCCACCCAATGTGGCAGTGGTATACAAACATCATCACCAACGTTGCCTCCACATTCATGAAAGGACATTACAACCTGAGCCAATCTCAGTTAAAAAGTAGATCAGTTTCAGCATAGACTTTAGGTTGTTTTTGTAAAGGTAATTATAATACAATGAAAAATCAGTTGCCCCAATGCATATATGATGCCAAACTATTGTTGTTTTCCCCCAGAAAAATATAACAATTTTAATAATAATGCAAGCCATACTTTCTAAGATAAAATCAACCAGATAACACCATGTTAACCTAACAATGATTAAATTAGGTATATAGCAATCATTGCACATTATTTATGCTAGAAATTTGTGTTAATGTATATAATAAGATGGTGGCATGTATATAATATGATAGTGGTGTTGGTGGTAGATAGTGGCATGTATAGAATATGATAGTGGTAGATAGTGGTAATATATAATATGTAAGTGGCATATAATGGGTTATAATGATGTTTGTAATATCTCCAATATAAGGAGTGTCATTTGGTCTTGTAAGATAAGAAGTTTTGAATATAACAGAAATATATTCCTTCTTCCTCATATTTTCGGAGTTCTTCTTCCTCATATTTTCTAAGTATTTATTTACAATATATTTACATACAGATGTTTCCATAGCCACATTTTCCATGATACTCTAAGGCCCCGTTTGGGGACTTACCTTTTTAGCCAAAAAGTCAAAAAGTTATCTTTTTAGCCAAAAAGCCAACAACTCATACCAAAAAGTCAAAGATTCTCTTTTCTCTTTCTTTACGTAATTAGCCAAAAAGTCATCCCAAACATATAAGTTTTTTTTACTTACTTTTTTAGTCAAATAGCCAAAAAGTTACTAAATTAGCCTGTTCCCAAACGAGGCCTAAGCAGTAGGATTAGCAAAATCTCACATTTGAGATTCAATCCCTCTGTTTTTTCACATAATTGAGACTGCTCATCTTGTAATTAAGGTCTTACATCAGATGCACAGAAATATTTTGACAAACAGTGAAATGACAACGGGGACAACAAAAGCAGAAACCATTATTCCAGCACAAGCATGGCCACAAATCTTTATACATGAAACTGACCTGTAACTTGAGCTTAAGCTCACGCACAATCTGAAACAGCCTCTTGTAACCATTCCAGTTGTATTCCTGTGGAGCATGTGCTTCTACTATACCCCACCAGCAATCAACCATAACACCATCAACATTGACTGATTTCAATACTCTTAGTTGCTTTGCTAAACCATCTGGATCATTGAGCTCACACTTCATATTGATGACACCCAACTGCCACCCACAAGTACAACACATTACATTACATTACAGATACAGATCTACTTGAAATGACTGTCATGCTTAACATTAGAATAAGCTCAAAAACATATTAGAATATTTTTATATATATATATATATTAAAATAAAAATACATTAGAATATTATATCTCAGTTTATAATGTAATAAAGAATAAGAAGTATTAAAGACAATGCAAGTGCAAACATAAACCGTTCCATGGAGCACAAATTGAACAGATTGTATAGAGATCAGGAATTTTCCCTCAAGGGATTATATGATGAATTGTGTCTCAAAAAACAAAAGAAAAGAGGAATTATATAGTCAAGAAGATCCAAATAAATGACATAGAGTATCAACAATGTTAGAGAACTCACTGGTAGCATCACATAAACTGGAACGCAAGGCGTGCCTGCAAAATCACGCTCCTGTAACTTTTGGGGTACATCAATAACCTAACAGAAATGTTCAGACACATATATGACATGAAAGCCAACTTAAAAAGCATTCAAATGTATATTAAAGATTAAAACATAATATGAGAACAAAAGTGTGGTTCTTTATGAGAAATTAGTATTGACCATGGCCTATCATCATGTCAATTAATTTGAAGCACATTGATACAAACACAGATATGATATATTCTGTGTAGTGTTGAGCGTGTCTCTATAAGCATTAAATCAAGTTTTGTTTGTCATAACATATTAAGAGATATTATCATTGCTCTAGATCTATCAAAAATCTAAGTTGTATTGTTAAAAATGCAAATACTAAATTGAAGGTTATATTGGTTTCACACAGATTTGGAGACAGTACACAAAAATTTGCCTTATCCCAATTCTTCTGCTTGAGGAAAAAGTCCAAGTAATTGGAAGTCTAGTTATGTTTTCGTCACAATTAAACCTTAGTTCAGCCTTCATGAATATCAGACAACTGTCCCAGAGTTCCCAGGAAGTATCAGTATGATATGGATGAGTCATTTATTGAAGTTTCTATGCTTCTTAGGTTAACAAGATAATATCTATAAGATACAATTAGTTAAGGATCATAGTGAAAATAATTCATGAGATCAACAGCAAAAGGTGTTGATTCTCTTGAATTGATCCCCAAGTGCCAAAAAAGAAGGGGAAAAGTAATAAGGAATACCCAATCCTAAATTCTAGCTTCTAAAACACAGAAAGCTAATCGTGTCACAAAGACTGCAAATTGGTAAATATACCAGCACAGAAACATTAGAATCCATATAACCTAACCATGACATCAAGCATCTCATACCTTCTTGCTATCAACAGTGTCCATGGAGCCTCCAATAAGAGGATGAATTTCTGCTCCTCCTCCATCTCCGACCATAGCAGACATATGGGACCGAGCACTTGAGGATGCATCATAAAGAGATGAAGTGGGCACAAAAACACCTTTTGTGGGACATGCATTGTATTCCATTGAACTCTTATAGCCCGAACATATTCCTCCCAAGGTAGCAGGTGGGGTCTGTTGTTGCATTGGCATATGTGCAGATGTTGAAGTCATCGGTGTAGTAGATGCGCCACCAGCAGGTCTGGTGCCCTATAATAGTTGAAGATACAAAATCCCAATTCGGATCTTCTCAGATTCACTAGCAAAATGTGTGATTATCACTCAAGCATAGAGAAAGAGCAACAAATAAGGTGGTGGACAGGAAAAAGAGATACGAAAGGTATGCACTCGTACAGTTATAATTTACTCCTTTAAATGAATGTTCTCTACTTTGTAGTTATCATTTTTATTGGTAGGAACAATTTATGCATATCAAAGATTTAGAGATTGAACTCTTGGCTCAAAACATATACCTCGTCATCCCATAATAACCATCCTTCAACAACATCATGCTTTGGGGAGATGAAATTAATGCATCTACATTTGGCTTTTTAAGATTAATCCTTTCCATGTCATTTTTTAGCCTAACTAAAGGTTCACATATCAAATACTTAAAATTTTATTCAATGAAACAGCTTTATCTTGGAGTTTGGCAATTATCATGGACTATCCAAAAAGACGGAACGACTTTTGTGTCATAGAGAAAATAGTATAATTCTTAGAAATAAAGGCCAAAAGGACTATGGTATCCACGGGAAACTGTGCAGTGTCTGCATGTGTGATTTTTCCTTTTCTTTTCCTTGAGAGAGAGAGAGAGAGAGAGAGAATTGAAACTATTATTTTTTGGTTTGATCAGCAAATGTTAGTTGTTAGATAACTATTATGAGTCAAGATGTATAAATCCCTACTACTTGGATATACAAATATATTAGTAATCCTTCTTCTCTCCCAGTAAAATCAGAGAGTACCAATGCTCTTTACTTTCGAGGGGAAAAAATTCACTAAACCATTTGCTTGTAAGCATAAATATTTAAGAGTCAAGAAGCAACAAAGAAGATTGTATCAGAGAACATGCCGAGGGGACACAACCCAAGTGCAACTGTCTTTTTCCTTCCTGAAATGTACTGCATTTGACAAGTATTACTGTGTCTAAGAGTTCGGCAACACAAAGCAAGTAATCCACAATTTAAGGAACAAGATACATGTTTCTATTAACATCACAATATACATGTACCAATAACTTGCTAATCCATGTATAAAGAATTGTTTTGTAGCCTAGGCACTGAGCAAGCATACTTTTAAAGGCTCAGGACCTTGACTAAAGATTTTTATTTAATTTTCTTTTCCAGATCTGATGTGAATAGATATGACTATAATTTGTATAACATGCAAATACAAGATAAAAAAACGAAGTTTCACCCTTTAAAGATAAGTACCTGTGATACAGAAGGAAAAGTGGTACCATCAGGGAGAACAACCCAACCAGCTTCCCTTGCTAGAGCTGCGATAACATCATTAATATCAGCTCTAACCCTAAGATTATAGTTTCCGTGCCTTCGAAGTCCTGCCAAGATCTTTGCAGTGACTGCCCTCCGCTGCCGTTCTCGTATTTTTGTTCTCTCCTTCTCTTCTATCGGTCTACACCTTCGAGACCCCGGTTGGGTAGATGTGTGCTCTTGAAATTGTTGGTGCTGCTGAATGCGATTGTTGTTGCCACTTGATGCAAGTACCCCATCAACACCTACCATCAGCGGAGTTGAATTATTCTTTTCTTCGTCATCGTCGTCATCATCATCATCTTCTTCTTTCACATCCATCCCCGTATCTTCATCATCTTCTTCACTTGTTCCAAATCTATGCATCTCCGTCGACATGGTTCCTCTTTGCAGAAAATCTCAAACTCTTATAACCCTAAAATGATACGGTGCATTGATCTTTCTGCTCCAAGTGCCATTGTTAATGCTTAATTTGATGCATAATTAGCCAATCAAAACTTTCAAAGCAAGTGGAAACCCAATTGAGAATTTCTGTACCCAAAAAAAAAAAATAAAAAAAATAGTATCGCAATGATCAACAAGAGTGTAGTACCATCCGTTTCTGATTCCAGAAATAAAGAAAATACTCCCTAACTATGAATTAAGCTTATCCCAGTTACAATCAACTTAAACAGAGAAACTATCATATCATTATCAGTTTTTGACATAATTCTAAAGTAAAATATTTACTTTCCCACCAATTAACTATATGACCTTGAGATTGTTCCAATTTTGTTATTTTATCCAATTAAACATGAAATAGTGTACCAAAAACAAAAAATTAAACAAGAAACATGAATTTCTGGGTAATTCACAGACACAATTTTGAGTTTTAATGCAACAATTTTAAATTCAACTGAATTATATCTCACTCAAAGCTAAACACCCCCCCCCAAAAGAAAAAAAAAAACAAAAACAAAAACAAAAAAGAAAAGAAAAAAGAAAAAAAGAAAAGAAAAAGAAGGAACAAAATGATAAAGAAAGTTCTGTAATTAACCTTACGGTATGAACTTCAACAAAGCATAGCAATTTCGAGTCTTTTACAAATTTTTGTATCCAATTAAACATGAGAATAGAATACCCAACAAAAATAAATAAATAATAAACAAGAAATACAATTTTTTGAGTAAAATTTCGAGTAAAATAGACCATAAACAGAACAAAATGAAGAAGAAAATTCTCTGATCACCTTACAGTACCAACTTAAAACAAAGCATAACAAATTCGAGCTTTTTACAAATTTTCATTGTATCCAATTAAACATGAAATAGTGTACCCCCAAAAAAGACATGAAATATGAATTTATGAGCAGTTCGTAGACAAACTTTTGAGTTCTACTGCAACAATTTTAACTTCAAATAAATTATAACCCCCAAAAAAAAATTTGATAAAGAAAATCCTCTGATAACCTTACAGTATCAACTTAAATAGCAACTTCGAGGCTTTTACAAATCTGAAACCGTTAAAGCTTGAAATTTCCCTTCTCTCCACGATCTTTCTTCAATCACAGGGCATACACAACCCTAGCTCTCAAATTCTACCTCTGCTCAGAGAGCACAGATCTACACATCATCGTTCTCGATAGAATATTCCGGCGAATCGGCCGGAGCGAGAGAATTACAGGGAGGAGGAGAGAGAGAGTGTGTGTGGAATTGAGGGTTATTCGAGAAAGAGAGGGGTTGGGGTTTTCCGGCGAAGGTCCGGCGGAGGAGAGAGAGGGAAAGGGGAGGGGAGAGCGAGAGGGGGAGAGTGTGCGAGCATGCGAGGCTAGGGTTTCTCACGCGTGTGGGAATAGGGCGAGCGTGCCTCGATGATATGAGTTTGGGCCGAGGAACGTGCGATTGGCACGTGCTAAGGAGGGTGCGTTGACGGCGTGGAGTGGGTGGGACCATGAAATTTAGGTGTGACTTAAACCTGGAGTTTTTTTTTTAATATTTAAAAAAAAATACTATTTAGTGAATTGATTTACTTTTCAAATTATTTAAAAAATTAATTGGTTTTTGAAATTGTATTTTTAAAATACGATAAAATCGTATTTTAAAAATACAATTTCAAAAAGTAGGTTAATTTTTTAAATAATTTAAAAAATAGGCCAATTCTCTAAATATATATATATTTTTTTAGAATATTAAAAAAAAGACCTCCTTAAACCCGAGGGCATCATACTATGTGGGAATTTCTATTTGGGCAAATTTTGTGAAAAGTTTATTCAAAAGGTAAAATCTTATTTGATAATAAGGATATATCGAAAAATATTATAGATGTTGGAAAAGTCATTGTCAGCTGTGAAGTAGAGAAATATATAATATTCAATTGATAGATTTTTAAATAAATAATATGTATCATATTTTAATAGATGATTAATTTGGTAAATTCAACATATAGACAAATGATTGATTTAATCGGATATCAGAAACCAATCTATTTGTCTATATATCAGATATCCAATTTTGATAATCCTCTTCCGCCACATTTTCCCTAACCCTTCTTTCTCCCTTCCTCCTTAAAAATGGAGAGAGAGTGGACGAGGGTATGTGTTGTTTTATTCTGAATATTAAATTGTTTTAGAGAAAAATAGAAATTATAAAAGATAAAAATAATAATGGTGTGAATTGATAAGCAGTGTGTTGTGTAAATAAAACCTCTCCAAACAATTGGAGAAATTATAGGATGCATAATGTTATACAAATATTTTATTTTATTTTTAATTAATTGAAGTGGTGGTTGAGTTGTTTTCCTATCATTTATTTTAATGCCCATTTTAAATACTAAAACTTTTTCATTGCACAAACCATTTCAGTTTGTAAAAAAGAAAAAAAAAAAAAATGTACCAAAAAATTATTTTTTTGAAAAATGAGATAAAATCATAAGGTGATATAGTCTTACAAGTATCAATTTAATACCTTTATATTATCAATAAGAACAATATTTACTACTTGTGTGGAGATACCTTAATTGGTTGGGTGTAAAGGCCTTGTTCTTGTAATTGTTGAGTTGAGGGTCTTTTTTCCCCCCCCACAAATTCTTACATTGAGATTTATTATGTTTAAATAGAATATTTACTAAAATGACATTTAATTATTGAAATTCTTACCATGCTTAGTAATCATACAATATAACCTTGGTAAAAAAATAAGATTGATAGGGTGGCCATGCTTTTTTTTTTTTTTTTTTTTGAACTAGGTCATGCTTATCAACTCATTTCTGGCAATGAGAATTTCCCCATAGCCAAGGACATCATAAGAAAAGTACTAATGACATGCGTACAACAAAAAAGAAAAAACAAAAATATTCACAAAAAGTTAATGTATCGCCCAGATTCATTCCATAAAAAAATAAATCTAGACCATATATTCATACTTGTGAACAAAACATTCTTGTCAACACATAAGAAACAACAACATATTACTATGTTAACTTTACAGGCAAATAGATATTGTTTTTTTCTTTCTTAGTTGGAGCCCGGGATTTCATCAGATGAAACTTGTTGCCCTTTTCCTTCGAACAAAGATTGCAGATCCGAGATTGCTTCACCTATATATCAAGGGCCAACATAATTCTTGGTTAGTCACCAGGCGTAAAGATGTTGATGTTCCAATAGTACCGATCACTACATGAAAGATTGTGTTCCAACAATGAAAAATAACAACATCCTCTGTGCAAAAGTTTTGAAGTTTTGTAACACTTTTTTGTTTTTTTCCAAAATTACCCACATTGTTAACTGCTTACAGTTATCAAATTCAACCCATGTTCTCCATTCATCAAAAAATTTAGATGTAAAATTGTGAACGTACTGTGTTTGAAACACTGCTAGTTGTAAATAAGACAGCTCATGCCATAAAGATGTGTCTAATTCTATTTATCTGAGATATATACAACTTAGTGCAGCTCATGGTGAGTGAAAGACTAATCATTTTCAGATATGTTAGAATCACTTCCATCTGAAATACGAGAAATTATGCAAACAATTGATGGAAAAGTGATCAGAATATGTGAACCCTGAAAAGTATGGAGAGGTCGTGCCCATTCAAAGACTACTGACTTTATACAATGTTATAGCCCAGCAACCTCCCCACCAATCCCGCTAAAAAAAGGCATTATTGAAATAATTGTTTTAGGATTCTAGAGTCCAAGACTACATTATTAAGCCGCAATATGACCCTAGATAGGACAGATGCAGAGAGAAATTCATGTAACCAACCAAAACATTTGGGACAAGGCTTTGTTGGCTTGAACAAAACTTATGTTTAAACAAACTTTAAGAAAGAAACAAAAAAAAACAAAGAACTTAGGTTTAAACAGAACAAATAACAATGATCTCAAAAGTTTATAAAAAAGGGGGAAATTACAAATCAGTGAAAGAACTGAAAATAATTGCAAAAACATGGAAGTGCAAGTGGTTTTGTGCTCTGGTGTACCTCCATGTTTTTGCAAGTATTTTTAATTTTTTCCACTGATTTGAAATTCTCCCTATATAAAAGTTGGACATCTGTGATTCTGAAAATATTATCTGAAAGGGCTTAATTCATTTTTTACCCCCACCTCTTCCACAAGGGAAAAGGAAAAACAAAAAAGAGAAGAGGTTCCACTACCAAATATAATCCATATATCAGACTGAACAAAGATGTGTTCTTACCGTGCATTTTCTTGACAAATCGTTCAAACTCCATAAAATTGTGATTCTCCATGAGAACTGGGCTAAGCCTCAAGTAGGTAAAAGCAGATAAATGCCGCCCATCTGGATCGTTTAAGGGCTTTGCATTTTCTAATATCTTGTTATAACCTTCTCTATCATAGCAAGGAAGAGCATTCTCACTTGCAACTGGTATGCTAACATCCCATGCAGCATTAAGCACCTGAAGTGCAAATACATCATTCGCAAGTGAACATTTTAAAGCTTTATTAAATGCTAATCTACAGTCATCCAGGCACGGACAGATATTGCTACATTTAATTAATATGTTTGTATATAAGCCTAACCCAAAACTTTATGCATTTCAACTATATCAAAAGCGACAGTTGGGAAAATGAACTGGTAAATTTGTGTGATCTACTACAAGCTGCTTGATTCCGTTCTGAGTTTGAAAAACCAAATATTAAGTGCCAGGCCAAGGAAAGAGAAATTGAAATGGGATTGATTTCAGGTCAAACCAACCTTATTTATGGCCTATTTTAGCACAATTGCAACATTTTGTTACACAGACTCTCAATGTATTTCCAAAAAGAAAGGTCTTCTTTCCTAGGGGGAAAAAATTATGCATACAGATAAAATGAAGCAAATATGAGTTTCTTAATTGCGTACCTGCCAAACTAATCCCTCAGGGTCTGCCAGTGCCTCTGGAAAGTCCTCATTCTGGTCCATTGTGCGCAACTCAACACATGTGAAGTTTAGAGCAGTCTCATGCTTCTTTAACATTGTTGCGATTGGAGCGTAGCCATCACGATTACATGGGTTGTAAAACCCAGCAGTCAACTCAGCAGCGTGACTTGCTGTCTTGTACCACCAATGAATACCTGATAGCTGCTCAACAATCAAAAACAGATCACATTAAACTTAATTTATTTTATTTTATCGGCAAGGGCAACAAAAAAAATTTTCTTAAAAGAAAGTGAGGTAAAAGGAGGACAAGAAGTCCTCTACAAGGTAACAAAAAGCTCAAACAAATCAAAAACTAAAATCACAGATTTCCAATCTCTCGAAATCAGAAAAAGTGGGACCCCTTTAAACAGGGGGCAACTGAAGCTCAAAATGAAGCCAAAATCCGCACTCTAAAAGATTATTCATTGTAACCTTCATTTTGCTCAAAGTAAGTTCATCTTCCCCAAGAAAAGAAATATGGCAGGGTTAAATCACCTTTGTAGCAATGCAAGTGCCTTCAAAAGCCAAATTTGCCAGAGCGAGGACACGATCACCATGATCAACCAGAACCTGAGAGTACCAATTAAGGAAAAATCTGCCATAATAGCTATCATAATCGCCACCATCACAAAAGAACCTGGTTTCATGTGGTCGGGAATTATAAGAGCCTGCATTATCTGGTACTCTTCCCCAAAATGAATGTCCTCTCACTTCTGCTGCCTTCTTCAGACTATTTAACAAATACCGGTCATAGCACTGCCAGGAAAAAAAAATTCCATTGATTTTTTTTTTTGTTGTAAATGCATAGAAAAATCGGTGCGGGTAACCAAAACAATTCACATTTGCTAAAGGAAGAAACATTAAGGACTTGATAACATATTATAGTAGTATTGTCACCTTCTAGAACAAATTCATTTTGTCACAGTGATTGTCACCCATCCCGAAAGATGAAATCCCCTCATAAAGAAATATATATTAGACATCAATTACTAAAAAGTTACCTGGAATTCACCAATGCCAGGATATTTCCAACCATGTTTTGCATAATAAGAGGGATAGCGTAACTCCCCACATGGACCGAGTCCAATTTCAATCTCAGAGATGATTCCATCCTCAAAGAACTCGTCAAATTCTACCCGGAAGCTTCTCATGTAGTCAAAGTAAACCTACATCAATTTTTCAAAAGATGATATTATTGAAGATAATGGTTTAAAATGATGCATAAGAGAAGCAAGCCTAACATTAAATGTTGAAGGTCAAAGAGAAGTTCAATAAAAAATAATGAAACTGCTAGCTGGAATAAAGGGCATATCATTGTGACCATTGCGAGATGGAAGAATCTGCAGCAGACGGCAGCAGAGAGCAAGTAGAGGTTGCCAGAAGATTGGTCACAATTTATGTTACATAGACATTGAGAGACAACATAAGATGCGACTAGGCTGCAAATTTTATAGAAATGTTTTCAAACTTCATGCATACTAATAGGACATTCACTTCTATGAAGGTCCATGTCTGACATCAACCTAAGAAGTACGAATATGTCTAAGAAAATGGTGTGTCCATGACAAACACATACACTAATTGGATACTTCCTGACACAACTTGAACAGGCTTTGGACATTTGGCGGACACATCCATCACTTACACATGAAGAAAAACCACACCTTAATAAAACAACAAAATGCAATACCTCAACAGCAGTCCGACCTCTTAAAACCCTTTCCTTGTCAATTCCCCAAGTGAGACATTCAGGGTTATGTCTTCCTTCTTTGTCTGTGAAAAATATGTCAGGATTTCTTTGACCAATTTCGGCCACCCATTGGGGAAGTGGAATATGAACATCATCACCAACATTGCCTCCACATTCATGAAATGACATAACTACCTGTGACATTTTTTTACTTAAATGAGGTAATGGGCTATCATCCAAGAAACTTATGAGGGAAAAAAAAAGGAGGCAGCAATCATATAATCGTTGAGCTCAAAATTTTAGCAAAATCAACCATATTACCAATGGAGACAAGCTATTGTAATCATCAATAGAAGAATGCCTCTCACTTATCACAGTGTTTCCTGCATATTAATGCAAAACTCAAGAAAACCAATTCAAATTGGGTTCCAGATTTTGTAAACTATTAAGGAAATTAGGAAACTGGTGGCTCATCATTGTGCTTTTATTTTCTTCTCCTCCCTGACCCAAAGCACTTCTGGAACTATAGTGAACTAAAGATTCAGCATGGACATCCTAATGAATGACTGGGGCTCTAGAAGTAGGGGCTACAGTACTGCGAAGCATATTGTCAGGAATAATAGTAATACATTTGCTGAAGATTTAATATATGTTCCTGTGCTTGATTTGATGATCATAAATGCCAGTAAACCATCTCATACATCAGCAGGATGAATAACAATACCTTTCAAAGACACAATCATATTAGGTTTTATCCTTGTCATATTATTTTGAAAAGTCAGAGGATTTGACTAATGATGGGAGTCAAAATCCTATGAGTTGCGTAGTCCTTTGGTTTTTTTTTTTCTTTTTCTCTAGAAATCCAATGAAGTTTTGAACTCAGATGACTAAATAAGTATAATGAAAAGATGTTTCCATCAATGCTTAGCATGAATTTACTTCAATTGTATGAGTGAAGACCTCTTTATGATGATTCAGTGCTGACACGGTGACACCAGATTGAGAGAGAGAGAGAGAGAGAGAGAGATCTGAAGTAAATTTATTTTCTCTTCGATCATTACAAGCTAGCAGTGGTACTATTATTGTGTGTATCTATCAATCTACAATTGCACAAACAAAAAATCAAAACCAAACAAAACAAAAAAAATGAAAAAAACGAGAGCAATATATAACCCAAAGAGCAGAAGCAAAAAATGTTACAGAACAGATAGCAACACAGGTGCCATGCTTCTCACCTGCAACTTAAGCTTAAGGTCATGCACAATCTGAAAGAGGTTCTTGTAGCCACCCCAATTATATTGTTGTGGAGCATGTCTCTCTACTATTCCCCACCAGCAGTCAACCATTACACCATCGACATTAACTGACTTCAAGATCTTTAGCTGGTTAAGCAGATTGTCTTGATCAAGCAACTGGCAATCCATATTGATGGCACCCAACTTCGCCAACACAAGTAAACAGAAGACATGAGGAACAAATTTTACCGAATAATGTAATCAACTATAACAAGAACAATGTCTGTGGATGAATAAAATTTACAGAAAGGAAATTCTAATGACTAATTGCATGGCCAGCTGGAATAAGAAGGATAACTTGAAATGAAAGAAAATCCAAGAAAAAAAGGTTTGAACAAAGAATAAAATTAAGCAACTTACTGGTAGCATCACATATACAGGAACATAAGAGGTGCCAGAAAAATCTCGCTCCTGCAGCTTTGGGGGCTTGTCTGCAGCCTATACAAAATAGCAAAAAGGTTCAGGTTTTCATTTATATCATCCTAACTAGTGACACATTGCAGATGTGATTTGAACACAAGTATTATAAAAGACCCAAGGATAAAACCACACATTGATCAAATATTATCAGAAAAAGCTGCAATTGTAAAGCATTGTGGCATGGCAAGTTGGGGATCCAATGCATTCTTCTATAACTTCACAAAATTATTTCCCATTACCATTGACGCATTTCCTATGCTTCCAACAGAAAAGTACCATTCCATAAATTTATTTCCAAAATTAACCTTGATTCATTTGTGTTGCCACCAATATGAAACCATTGAAACTAGATCCTTTATTTCATAACATTATAGTTGCATTTCAATGAAATAGAGCACACAAAATTAATGGACATTACTCGAGAGATTTTCCATCAACAAGGGTAACTAAACATTTGTCCTCACATTAATAACCAACATTTTTTTATGACAAGCAAACCCATGCCCTTTGGAACCACCTTCCTCACCCCTATGGAGTAAATGTGAGATACTTGCAATCACCCGCAAACTACCAGCAACACGTTCAGATTTCTGGCTTGCACCAAAGTTTAGGACCTCAAACAAAACAATCAAATTGCCCATTTTTACTAATTTATACCCCATCATTTCAAATTTTATTTGTTTAAGCACTTGATCACGCCTATTCCTTTGCAAGGCTTTGTAACAAGAGCTCTAAATGAGATGAATGTAATGATCATTCCTTAGGTTCCCAGAATGGTCATTCCTGTTGGATCGTGGATTTGGATAGAGATTTGAAAAATGAACGGAAAAAGATAGGTAAAATGTGAATAAAATATAATTACATTTCACCCACACTTTTTAATTTCCCTGTCCAAATACCTACCCAAAATCCAATACAACCTTAATGATTTCATTTGCAGCGTATTTCTATCATTATTCTTTTAGACAACCAAACATGAAAATGGATATTATGATGATAATTACGTTCTATTTCATTTCAGTTAACCAAACACTACTTTAAAACTATATTGCACATACACAAGCCTATATCTAATTTAGTAATACTATACAAACAAAAAAACTCATACATAATTTTCATATATAATGATATAACTCATTGTCAACTTTTCACTTCAAAACCAAACACCATTCAAGATAGATTTATTTACCATAATGATATTGCCACATCATTCTTGTCAAGTTTGTTTGTTTTGTATGAATTTTATGTATGTTTAGAATTTTCCTATCTAATGTAGTACATAACCCAATTAGTGTTAACTATATTGTGAGAATAGAAGTACTAAACAGAAAAAGAACAAGAAAAAAAAGAAAGAACAGGTATCACAATTAATCGCCAAAGAAATGCCATGAATTGAAATTGAAATTGAAACTACAAGAAGGATTGGGAAAGAAATGCAATTCAAACGAAGGAAATTGAACCTGCTGGCCATCGACAATCTCCGTAGAATCACCGACAAGAGAATGGTCCTGAGTTCTCTCGTTCGAATTCACGAAAACAACCCTCCTGAATCGACATGAACAGTAGTGACCATAATTGACCTTTCGCGAAGCAAAGAGAGAGAGTGTCGCCACCATCGATGAAGGCGAGGACGCCATTGTTGCAGAAGACAGAGCCTTGTGAGGCCTCAAGCTGTGACACAGTTGAATTGACGAAGAAATCACCATCTGAACTCTCTCTCTCTCTCTCGCTACAACTGGTAATACATACTCATATACTGGTAATACATACTCATATGTACATGTATTTGCCAGAGAGAGAGAGAGAGAGAGAGAGATTGGCGGGGTAAGAAATCCGTGACTGTGACGGTGGTTTGCGTGATCCAAGACAAAGATAGTTAATTTAGTTTCTGACGTGCAAATGCATCTATTGCATTATTTTTTATTTTTTATTTTTTTTACTGGAAAATCCTCCCACTCTCCCGCAGATTCAAGGCAGCGCCCCTCCGTTCCGAGTAAGAGACTATAACCTGGAAGCTTGTCCCGACCTCCCAAGGCAAGCTCTGCTTAAATCAGGACTCGCACAGCTGTCCCGACCTCCTCCCAAGGCCCGTTCCGAGTAAGAGACTATAACCTGGAAGCTTGTCCCGACCTCCCAAGGCAAGCTCTGCTTAAATCAGGACTCGCACAGCTGTCCCGACCTCCTCCCAAGGCAAGCTCTGCTTAAATCAGGACTCGCACAGCTGTCCTGACCTCCCAAGACAAGCTCTGCTTAAATCAGGACTCGCACAGCGGGGGAGAATTAAACTCACACCAAGTAGCTGATAAGGCATCCTTGAGGTCAACCTCCTAGAGAATTAAACCCACACCAAGTAGCTGATAAGGCATCCTTGAGGTCAACCTCCTAACCAATTATGCTACGCCCAGGAGATTGACCCAGAGGGGAGTTGAACCCAGGACCTAGGGGCTTAAACCCCAGGCCCTTACCAGGTTGCCACTCACCCCTGGGTTTCTTCTCCATCTCTCTCTCTCTCTCTCTCTGAGCAAGGGACGGGAGTTTTTAAAAGCAAACCTTGAAGGCTTACAGAGAATAAGGTTTTGTTTGGTTTGGCTTTATCTTGGGCTGTGTGAGAAGTCAAATTTTAGCTTAATTCTTTTCTCTCTAATTTTTACACATATTTTCATAAAAAATAAAAAATTTATCTTAAACATATTAATTTTTTTACATCATATTTTAGTTAAAAAAATTAAAAAATTACTAAAAAAAGCATGACCCCAAATGAGGCTTTAGTTGGATGAGATTATTAATGAGACGATAGATAAATACTGGAGGAGATGATTAATAATGAGATTCTCAAATTATTTTTATATAAAATAAATAAAAAATTAGTTTTATATTAAAAAGATTAAAATAAATATTTGATGGGTCGCTACACATACCAAAATTAAACACAAAACTATACCAAATTTTTTAGAATAATAGCAAGTTCAGGTATCGATCCACATGGACAATTGTGAAATTAAACTAATTTAATTGTTAAATTCTTAAGTTAATTTTGATGAAAAGATTGATTGTTCATAACCTAATTTAATAACAAAGAAATTAAACTAAGTAATTAAATTATCAATTATAAATAAAATTGGATTTACTGATTTGGAGAAAAACCTAGGGCAAAGAGTCCACCACTAGTCACGTAAATAGGGTTTCCAATTGAAATCAATTATGTTATGGTTCGAACGGGATAATGCTTTGCAATTACAAGTTCAAAGCATTTAACAAGTAAATCATCACGTTCAATGTACGAGCACGAACCATCTCAAGTAGTACAAATCGTTCACTCTAAACTAGGGTAGTGACACGACTCGTCCCTCGTAGTATGGTCTGTCTCATACTTTGAATGTGAAAGAATAGAAAACTCTTGTATGGAAAACATTCAACGATCAAAGAAAGCCGAATATTTGAAGAAATAATGGAAAATATATATATGAGACTTCTAAAACACCATACAAATGTTCAAACATTTACATAATTGAAAATCAAAAAGAAAAACCTAATTACATGGCCATGGTTTTATCAAAACCCTAGAAAAGAAGACTAGCCACTCATGGAGGAGTGGGAAGAGGAAAAAGATGACCCCCTAGAAGTGTCCTTCAAACTTTTTAGAGCAAATCCTCTCTTGAAACCGTAGCCTCTCTTTCATTGTCAAAACGATTTCAGAACCCTAATCCAGCCTTTTTCTTTCCTATTTATACTTCTGCTATCTTTCAAACAGGTTGAAAACATTGGGCACGTTTTTCCAGAAAAAGTCAACGCACATGTGGACAAAGTCATCGCGCGTGCGAGAATCTGTTTTTCCTCCAAAATCTGTCTTTTTTTTTTCATTTTTATGCTCCGACTATGTACAACCTGATTAACATTAAATACACATAAAGTATATAGTTTGACAAGCAAGTAAAGTTGAGAGATCCTAATTAACGGCCTTAATGTTGTACAATTCGGCCTTAATCACATCCCCCAACTTATAACTTGCTAGTCTTCAAGCAAGTAATAAAAATAAAATAAAAATAAACAAAATCTAGCTATTTTCTCTTTTGTGGGAAAACAGTTGCATTTAGCATATGCAATAAGCCTTTAAACCACAAAATTACCCCAAGTGGACGAGTAAAGTCTCGTGAGGGTTTCTAGAAATGATACCCACAAACATTGACATATTCATATATACTCAACAACAATTGACCACACTACTCCACCTAACAATCAACTTATGTGCCACTACAGTGTGATATTGAGACATAATGAGTCATTAAAGGCACAGTAGACAAGCATGAAGGAACCTATTGAGTCAAAACCACAATTCAGTTAATACAAAAGTAAAGTCTCCTGTACTTGCGCATGCTAGTAGACAAATCATCAGTACCCTCGGTGTAAAGTGCAATCTCCATATTAGTTAACTGTCCACTATAATAGCCCAGTGTAACTCATAATAACACCAAACATATACAGAAAAACTAACCTGTTGCAGTCAAGATTCTCAAATTTTTTTAAAAAAAAAAAAAAAAAAAGACTGTGCAATGTTCTGATCCATTAAGCTTTTCTAATCAACGTATGTAGCAAGTATTAGGCCAACGACTCTCAAACCAGACGATTTTAGGACACTAGGTGTAGAGACACCCCTACAGGCTTAATAACTCGAGTTAAAAATGTTACGAATCTGAACAAGTCATTCTCCTTATTTTTCCTTAACTGTGCAATGTCTGAGTTCCTTAAACTTTCTAATTAACCCATGTAGCAAGCATTGGGCCAATGACTCCCAAACCAGATGGTTTTAGGGCACTAGGTGTAGAGACACTCCTACGAGCTTAATAACTCGAGTTAAAAAGGCTATGAACCCAAACAAGTCAAGTTTTTTTTTTTAAAAAGAATCTTGGCTCCTCATTTATTCTTTTCTGCAACTCTAGCTATTATCAATGATGTAAACCAGGGATTATAATAAAAAGATCACCGCTATGATAGTGTGTTCATGTGAATTAAAACATACTCATGACAAGTGTACTAATACCACAAATACAGACAACTATCCTCGTGCAAATATCGCATGCAAGTATCTATCCAATAAACCCTTTTCATACAAGTCTACTATGCTCTCCAATTAACATATGCAAATATCATCACCCTACTAGCAACAAGTCACATCAAGTGAAGTAATGCAATCAAGTGAAACAGGTATAAACATAAATTATGTGCCAAATAGAAATGTACAAAAGAAAATACAACCCTCATCCCCAAACTTGATATGACATTGTCCTCAATGGAAAAGTAAAGAGAAATGAGAGAAGATTACAAGAGATTGTAGGTGCACATCCAAGTAGGCATATAGTAACACACACACACACACATTTCACAATTTTTTTTTTGTTTTTGAAAAGAAGAAATAACTAAAAAGAAAAATAAAAAGAAAAGAGACAAAGCAGAATAGAGGTCGGTACTAGAGAGAATCCGGTGGCGGTGGTGGTGGAAGAAAATGTTGGGCAAACAAGGCGTTCATCAAAGATTGCGTCTCAAAGACTTCATCTTGAACCTGCAGGCCGAGTTCATCAAAACGTTACTGGCTTGACTCTCGATAGGTATAAAAGTCAGTTTGCAGTGATGCAACTGACTGCTGAATGTCGAGCTGGTGGGCGTGTAGCTGGTAGAAGGTCGCCTGGTGATCACGAAGAGTACTGTGGACCTAATCTACAGAGTGCTGAAGCTGTAAGTACTCATCACGAGTCATGTAGAATGGGTCCCCATGGGGAGGTACGGGGGGAACAAGATGAGGTGGGTAGCCGTGGACGGGGTCCTGGGCCTCATCAACCGGGTCACCAACCTGCTGCGGGATGCGAGATATGCTATGCTGCCATTCTCGCTGGCTGAAAGTTGGATACGCTCTATCAATCTCCTCATTCGAATCAATGGGGAAGCCGTTTAGCTCAAAGACAAGTGTCACCAAATTGACAAATGGCAGTGGCTAAGTTAGGTTCTGCATAGGTTGAGGCCGAACTACCTCTCATAGAAATTTCCGCGCATGCATCCAGATGATATGCTCAAGCGAGACCTGATAGCCATGCTGATAACCGTGTAAGACCCGAACAAACTCCAAGTGGCGCTCAGCTTTATGCCCAAGTGGGAGGGCATTCTTATAGACCATAAAATCAATGAATAGCAAGCGGCCAGGCAGCTTGCTGTGTTGCAAGCACGAGAAACTGTCGTCACCGTGGGCCCCCGAGAAGTGTTGTTGGATGAGACTGTGTATGGATTGTTGGTCCTCAACTTCCGGGAAGGGCTGGTATTCTGGCTTGGAGAAGAACCCTAATGCGTTAACAATCATAGATTCGGTGATGCTGACAAGATGACCATCAATGGTGGACACCAGCCCGGGCTCGATGAGTGACTCATACAGGTTTTGGTAGAAAAGCCGTACCAGACGCGGATAAGTTGGCGCTGTCACATTGCAAAGGCCCAACTGTTGGTGGAGTTGGAGCTGTTCAACCGCCTAAGAGATGGTCGGGTCACGCTGAAAATATGAAATGTTGAACTGTGTGAGCTTGTGAAGCGGGCGTGAAGCCCACTCCGGCCGTGGCAAGTCACCTGATGGTGGTGGTGAGGACGGTGGTGACGGTGGCGGCGATGGCGCCGAGGAGGTGGAACCTCTGGCCCTTTTGGAGGCCTAGGTGGATAGCTGTCTACTCATATCCTGCACACACCAACAGCAAACAGACACAAACCCGTGGAACCAATCATGAGAATAAAGCAAAATATGAAAGCACAAGTCTGCCCACCAATATACCACATGCAATTCTCATTTT